AATTGTGTGTTAATAAAATATTAAAGCTATAAATTACAAGATGATTTTTATCTCTTTAAATATATGCTAATAATATGGTTAAAAATGGAAAATTTAAAAAGAGCCACATAAACCTTAATATGTATATATAATATATATGTCTATAATTTTTTTTTTCCCTTGATTACCAAATTTTTTTAAAGAAGAAACTTTCGATGCATTTGATGCTGAACAAAAAATAAGAGTTATTGGTCTGGTCTGGTCTCCTTAAAACGATCTTTAAATCGCCGCAACTATGATGTTTTCTAATTTGTATATCCTATAGATGAAATCATGTAATCTATATTATTGGATGATTTTGATAAGTGGTCCGAACCGGTCCAGGCCGGTTAAAGACCAAGGACCGACAGACTGGTCTTTGCAGGACCGATCCAACCCTAAATAAAACCAAATTAGGACGTTATAAAACCGATTTATTATTAAACCTATTTTACTGTTAGACCGATTTACGATTTTATCCAGAATTTAAAGTCGAATTATAGTAATCGGTTCCAATCAAAAGTTGCAATTGATTCTTATTAAGAGTTGCTGGTGAAATTAGTTCACCAATTTTACCAATTCAACACCAACCGTGGTGAAGCTATTTATCACTCTAATTTTATTTCACCAGCATTTTTAATTTGATCAAAAATTTAGTTGATCCTAATTAAAAGTTACAATTGGTTCTAACTTATTAAACTTGTTAAAATCAAATACATTTATTTACCAGAAATAAATACCTTTTACTAGAAATAGTTATAATTTTTACTAAAATCAAAACAGTTAAATAATACCGTATGAATAAAATCACCAAAATATTCTCTCTTTAAATAAAAAGTGGAACAAAATCAGTTAAATTATTAAAAGAATCAACAAGAAAATACTATACAGTGTTGCATATAGTGTCCTCTGAATAAGTGTCTTCTTAAATAGTATTGTGATATTACATATAGTCCCTAGATTTAACAATTGCAGAATGCATAATAGCTGAAATTTTGGGCCGGCTTTATAATCGCATTGTTAAAATCTATAAACTCTAATTTAGGCCAATTCCGCAAATTAATTCAATTGTAGGTTCTAAATTTTGAAAAGTATTCTGGTATTAATCAAGTAGCCTATCAGATTTGGCCTACGTACGTACATATGTATGGTCGTACTCATCAAACAATGTCATCATAAAGGGTCAAAGTTAGATACAACGTTAAGATCGCGAAACGCGATCACTTTTTTTTTTTTAAAAAAAAATAAATTGATTATCCGTGTATTTAAAAGATCTTTTACTGTAGATATCATACTGACAAAAAATTTCTAGCTTGTCACTACTTCCAGCTCTAAACCTAAATTGATATTTTCAAAAAAAGCACATGTACTAAAAATTGGTAAATGCATCTTCACTAGTTTGGGTGAAAAGTCTATAAACAGGATCTTTTTACGTTATTAATATTAAAGGTTTTTTTATAACTATATATTATGTTCATGATTCAAATTGATGATCCTGTTATATGACCAACTCACATGATTAATACTCTCTTCAGTATACCCCTTGTACAGTACTCCAATGTAAAATGGACAAAAGGCCAAATGTAAACCTCAATGAAGAGCTCATTGACTTTTTTTCAGTGGATAGTAAAATTGCCAACCTTATCTCAGGGGTATTTATTTAATTTATCCTGGCTTTTTTTTTTTTAAAAAAAACATAGTGCTGTATGCAGCACTGTACAGTAATAAATTGAAAGGCGGGTCAATTCGTTAGACACAGATTCTAATATATGAGTGTATTTTCTAGTAGCATATACCTCAACAGACAGTCTAATATCTAACAAAAAATTATAATTTAAGGGATCTTGATCAGATTTTATCAGTCTCTAGTGATCGGTAAAAGAAACAAATAATAAAAGTTAGTTCTGATGATGTGTGTGATTACATATCATATACGCCACTATCAAGTATCAAAAGGGCTGTAAATAATTGGTGATACAATTGAAAGCTCGAAGTTTTGGCAGCACTCATTTTATGATTGTTATTAGTCGGAATAAACAAAGTTAGGTAATAATATAAATGTTATAGGTTATATTTTTAGAATTTTCTATATAAGGCTACATTTCACAGACATCTCTTTTTATAGACGATCGATTCATAGACAAGTTTATTTTAAAGACAATTAATTTACAGGCAGTACATTTCATAGACGATTCATTTTACAGACATTTCATTTTATAGACAATCTTTAACGCTGATTCAGGAGTCATTGCTATTAAAGATTGTCTATAAAATGAACTGTCGATAAAATGAACTGGCTGTAAATTAATTGTCTTTAAAATAAACTTGTCTGAATTGATTGTCTATAAAATGAGATGTCCATAAAGTGATTTTCTGTGAAGTGATACGTAAACCTCTAACTGTTGGCCGATTGGTTGGGCTTCAACAAATTTTGCATCCAAAAACTAAGCTTTCACATAAGGTTTGTTATCGGGTTATAAAGCATCATTTAAATCAACAGGCAAATAGATCAAGTAATGCGTTTTAGTCTAAACTCTTGCAAAAAACTTTTTTAGACATGAAAGCCTGTTTCTTAAGTAGTATTTAAAAATATAATGCTTTTCTCGGCTAAACTTTGTACAAAGTATGTTGAATTTTGAATTTAGAGCTTGAAAGATCAAAAGATGAAGGAACCTAAAATTTATCAATAAGTTGGTTAAAAGTGACAAATGCTATTTTCATAATGACAGTAAATGAACCGACCAATCATATTACTTAAATTCACAAACAGGTATTATAATTTTATAAAATCCTTAACTGAACAGTCAGATTCATTTTATTTTAAAACAGACATTAAATATATACTGTATATATAAAGCTAAATAGAGATGTTATCCTGCTTCCCAAACTCTGTTGAAATCAAAACCCGTTAAACTCGAGTTTTTGTAATCATGTGATTTTAATTAGAAAATTTAAAATAGAGTTCAAAATCGATTTCAGCAAAATGTTTCGTGATTTATAATTTTATAATTAAAGTTAATTTTTTAGGGCGCAAATGCTGTAAATAAGTTTTCGTATTTATTAATCAAAAGTTAATTTCTAATGACATGTATTGTGTATAATAAGTTTTTTTAAAAAAAATTTCCTATTTCACATTTTTTAATTGATATAAATTCTTTATTTTTATTTTGTTTTTTTTTTATCTTCGTGTAATGGATGAAGAAGCAGACTCGGGCAATTTGATAATATAAATGATATTATCTCAACATACAATTTACTAGAAGTACTAACAGACACAACAAACCGCACTTTAAAACTGATCTCTTCTGGACGAACTTACTGAATGTGATGACAGGCAACATTGCAAACATTGCAACCAAATCTATTCAATGAATACAGGTCTTTCTATGAAAAGTTACACTTTAGACATAATTATCTAAATAAATAGAATGAATTAGCAAGATGAATGTTGAATTGTATAGTGCAGGTAAAATGCTTCAAATAAATCAACATCCTATTAAATGGATTATTACAGATTAACAAGCTTTTCTATTGTTAAAAATAAAGATTTTCAACTATATATTAATCAATTAACTCAATGATATAATCATTTCTGCATTTTACTTGATTACTCTATCACAAAGAGATAATATATGTATTTCCAAATTGTAAATATTTCAGTATTTATAGGAAGCATGATGCATGCTGATATCGTATAAATTAAACCAAAAAATTATTCCGAGTATTTCTCTTTTCACTATAACTATTTTTTATATACAAAAATTTTTATGCCAGGGTGACGGGATATGAAAACCTGTAAATCACTTCACTCATTATCATCGCGGTGATATCTACCCCTATGAGTATTAGGATTGCGATGATAACGAGTGAAATGATTTATGGTTTTCATATCCCGTCGCTTACATAATAGGTTTTAAACCAATGTTCTCAAATGACTCAAATAATTCAGTGGCCTAGTCATTTATCGGTCATTTAGAAAAAATGACCCGAATTTAGTCATTTGAAATATGCAAACTAAAAAACTCTGGTCTATGCTCCGACTATTAATAGCATTCTTTTGTCAATTATTATTACTTATTGTGTTTAATAAGTCTTAAAAAATTTTTATCAGTCCAAACTTGTAATTGTTTAAAAAAATCATTAAAATTATATTGCAAATAAGAACAACGTTTTTTCAACTTTTTTTTTCATCGGTTATTTATTGTTTTAGCATTTCCGATCTTAGTAGCTTTAAATATCTTGTATTTGTCCTTTTTATTTTGATAACAATGTATAATGTTATATATTCGTTATACAACATTTACAAGTAGCACTATAAAATTTACACATTATTAAAGTTCAAAGATAATTATGATATTTAAATTTATAAAATACTAATTAAGTCAAAAATGAACAAATGACGTAAGTCATTTTAGATCATTTATAGTCATTTGATTTTAGTCATTTGCTTAATTTTGAAATAATATGTGACTAAATGACCTATGAGAATTTAGTCATTTAAGTCACTTCATTTCAAAAATCAAATGACCTAGTCATTTGAGAACACTGATTTGGACTATGTCCAAATTTTCCTAAAAATATGGACATAGTCCAAATACAAACTCTGTTTATTTCAGAAATGTGAGTAGACTTTTAATATAGATGTTTAATATTCAAGCATAACTCAGAATTGAGCCAGACAATTACAGTGCGCATAACTTTCTAACTTCTTTTAGGATTAATCCGAAAAATTAACTTACAACGATAGTCTTTTCACTTAACTCATCATTCGATTTCATCGAAATGGGACCGGCAACACTTGCCCCTCTAGCTTCTTTATATCGGAATTCACGTTCACCATCACCGAAATTGACCTCAACTTTACATTCACCATCTGCCCCAACGGTTGGGAACCAGATATGTTTCAGTCCACTAAATGCAATGCTTTGATATTTGCCATTTTTGGTAAAGAAAACAATTCCAGTGTCAGGATAATAGCCACAACCTAAAAACATATATAAATTATATATGATTAAATAACTATTGAAAATTTTCGATTTATTCAAAAAATGACAATTTTTTTTTTGTTTACCTATAGTATCTCCAATTTCACCCCATGTTTCAGCATAACTTCGACCTCCAAAGCCGTCATTGTGAAATTTGTTTCCATCATCAGAATGATAACCTACTGAATGATCATTCCAACCAGGTAATCTATTGAATAAAATTTATTATTATTTTTTTCTTTACAATCTTTGATTATTTGTAGAGTTCCGCATGGGTCAGGCTGGCTGGATATTTGAAGTTCAGATCCAACCTAGCAAAAATATGTTTAGATCCAAGTCCAACCGACATTTAATTGGATAGATCCGAGCCCAGCCCATATAATCCATAATTGCCCATGAGTCCAAATAGCACAAACTATAAAAAGCTTTTTATTAAATTCAGATTTATAATTTGACGCAATGATGAGGATAACGATGGCATTGTTCCATAATCTTGGCCAATCAGCTTAAAATCCGAATTACCCATGGGCTTTTGGATCTAGACACGAATATTTTGAGCCAATCCAATTTCACGCGATTCCGAATTTTTGAGACCAGGTTCAACACAAAAATCGATATTATTTGGAAGCTCCGTAAATAGCCCAGCCTATGCGGAACCCTAATTATTTTTTGTGATGAAGACAATTGGATATACATGCTGTAGAAACTATTTCGGCATTGATTTTTAATATAAACCGCTTAGGTACCTCATCGGTTTCATATTAAAAGTCAATACCGAAATAGTTCTACTGCATGTATACAATTAAACCTTACCTGAAATTTGGATATGGTTTTGTTGTAAGCCCAACAGCAATTGTAGTATCTTTTACGTTAGGATGTGATAGTATAGTTACTTCAAAGTAATAAAACCAAGGTTCAGCAGTATTATCCAAATTTAATCGATACCCATCGTTTAATAAGGAACTTTTATGATAATTTTTTTCCAACCGACTACTAATCATTAATTCAGCCGTAGAATTTATTGAGGTAGGACTTGGTTGGGCAGAACTATTATCATCATACTGTGGGCGAAAATGTGGATAATTTGCTTGCACCATGACGTCATTTTTTCCATGAAACGTTACAACGCGTCCTTTATTTGACACGTTTACAATATTAGATGGAATTGCACGTTCCTTAGGTATTATCATTTCCCAGGCCTTTAGACCGGATGACAATATATATTCTACATGTTCTTGTGGTGGTAATATTTCGTGAGGTGGATTTTCACGTGTAAATTGGTTTGCAGCTTTGTATGCTTTGTGAGAGGCTTCATGCCTTAATCCATGTGAATGAGACTTTTCCGAAGCAGGCGATATGCTTGTGTAAGCCGGTGGAGGTGCGATTATAATGGGAGCAGTTCCAGGCAACGGAGGATATTGCATCTCAGTTCGAGATCGAATATTATTACTTGCGGGCATAGTACTTTCAAGATCAATGGATTCGTACGATTTCACATTATTTTTATAGTATTTTCTTTTTATAACGCATCTCCAGATTACAAATAAAATTATTGCCAATATTATAAATGCAACTATTGAAAAAGTTAATATGCAATAGCTTCCGCATGTTCCACCATTATACCAAAAAACCCATGTGTTAGAAGAGCCACGATTAGGACTGGAACTTCCACTGAAACCTATAGAATTTTTTTAATGGTCAATTGAACAGAATTGAAGTGAGAAAATTTTTTTAAAAAAAAGAAAAAGAAACGACTTACTGCTTCCAGGGCTACTTTTTCCACTACCACTTCTAGCTCCACCTCCACCCTTAGAAAGTACTAAAAGTGGCTGGAAAAGTAAAGCTAGAAATGTAAATCGAATTATTGGCAATTCAAGCCAATATAATGAAATAGCAAAATACATTTAATAAAATATATGAAGGTCTTAAAAACGAAAGGAATTTTATAATTAAGGAGTTTGAGTTTGCGGACAGCCTTTTCTGAAGAATCGCTGGCTTTCAATAATGATAAATGGGTTATTTTAAAACGGGTTAGCGTAGTTCGCCACTGATATCATTATAGTCATTTAATATGATATGTCGAAGAATTCTAGAAACTCATTGTTATTGTTAGACAGGAACCCCAATTTCCGGTAATTTGTAAATTATTTTTTTCATTGACAATTTTTTTACTATAAATATTATCGGTATCTTCCCTCCATTAACGTGTAGACACAGCCTTCTCTGTTTAAATATCAGTTACAAATCACTTCTGCGATTGTGGAAATTTATCAATAGATCAACCAAATTTCTCGGCTAGAGTACATCGGGGGTTAGGACAGCATTACAGCTGTTTTCATTATTCCTGGGACACCTGATAAAATTAGCCGAATGATTTTTCGGCCGATCCGGTTAAGTTATATTTTCGGCATGATCGGTATATAAAAAATATATTTTTAATTCGTCCAATAATATTTACTGTACGTAATATTGATAAAAATATCTTTAAATTACATCGTTGGTCCAATTTCATAATAAATATAATACTTGTTTTACGTGTCAATATTATTAAAATTTCGTTTGAACGCTTTCCCAATATGCTTGGTGTGTTTAATTTGTAAGAAAGTTTATGGGAAAGACTATTCTTGTCAACCAATAGAACTTGACAAGAAATATAAAAAAGGTTCCGGATATCAAATTAGCTTTTATAATAAATATATTACAAGAATAGGTGCTAATAGAGTATACCTTTCCGGTACGGTACAGTACAAAGTATCCGGTAGGGTACGGTACAGAAAAGTGACTGTACCCAGATAAATTTTTTTGAGCAGGGTACACAAAAAAAATAATAATTACCGTACCAAGTTTTTTTTTTGGTGTTAGGTACGCAAATAAATAAATACATAATAAAAAAAGTTTACCATACCCAAATCTAGTACAGTATTAACAATTTGGGTATGGTATAAAAAAAATTTTTAAAAAAATTTACTGAGCATTGGTATGCCCTAGTTTATAAGTATAGAGCCTAGCCCAATTTAGAATAAGCCATTACCATGACACAAGTAAATTGTTCAAAATGTCACCAGTGGGATTCAAACTCAGTACTATAGCCAAGCAAACTTGGGGTGCAACAACTTCACTACTTCGCTATGTCATCACACTTTACTTATACATTTGTATATTATGTATTCTACATATCTTTAATATTATTAACTGAGATGTAGATAATGCTAATTACATATATTAGTGAACTGCATGCTGTGTTGAAAGAATAATAAACTTTGCAACAGAACTTTTTAGTACCAATGATAAAAATTATTAAAATAGTAAGTAGGCTCAATAACAGACATTAGAAATTATTATAAACTAATAAATCTATATTGTGTTGTCAAATAGTGAAAAGGTTTGTAATAGAATTTTTTAGTAGCTTATAATAGAAATTTCAATTCAAACTAGATTATCTTAACCACATATTGCAGTTATCAGAATAGTGAATTAATTCTGTAACAGAATTTTGGTTGCTATAGTTTGCACTAGAAATTATGATAATTTTAATATAAGTTAATTTATCTTATTCAGAATAGAAATAAATTTTATAACAGGATTTTTTAATAGCTTGTAAATAAATCATATTAATTTAAATGCAAACCAGCTTACTTTAAACACTTATTGTAGTTACCAGAATCACAAATATATTGTTAGAAATCTTAACAATCACATTGTGAACTAATCTAAATTTTTAACAAATCACTAGAATAACAAGTAATTACAGCACTAGAATAATAACTAAGTTTGTAACAAATTTATTTGTGATAGAGAAATTACAATGATTTCAATGCAAACTAACTTATCTTAACTATATATTGTAATTACCAGAATAGCAAAGTAAATTTTATAATAGAATTATTTACAATAACTCATGATAGGAATTATAACAATTTTATATAAACTATCTCAAACTTAACTATATAATATTATATTCACCAGAACAAAAGTTCTGTAACAGAATTTTGTTTATATTAACTCATAATAAAGGATATAATGATTTCAATATAAACTTATTTTAATCAGAATGGTAGTAAGTTCTGTGGCAGAATTTTTTTTGTAATTTATGAATAAATAATGCTAATTACAATACAAATCAATTCACCTTAACTAATATTGCAGTCACTGGAATAGTGAATAAGTTCTGTGATGGAATTTTTAACTCATAATATAATTATGACAATTCAGATACAAACTAGCTTACCTTAATACTGAAATAGCAAGTAGTTTCTGTAATAAAATTATTTACAATAAAGTACATAATAATTCTAATACAAATTAACACATATTGTGGTTATTAGAATAGTATGTTCTGTTATAGAACTATTCAGTAATTCAATAAAAACAGCAATTTTACTGCAAACTAACTAAAATTAAAGTTATTGAAATATGTAAGTAAATTCTATAATAAATTTTTGTTTACAATAACTTACAATAAAAACTATAATAATTCTAATATAATCAGAATAGCAAACAAGTTTGCAACAGAATTTTTTCTGTAACTTATAAATAAATTATGTTAATTTCAATACAAACTAACTTACCTTAATTACTTTTCATAGTTGAATAAGTTTTGCAACAGAATTATCATAACAATTCATATATTATAATTACCAGAATAATAAGTTTCATAAAGAAAATTGGTTTTATTATAATTTACAATAAAAAATAATAATAATTTCAATATAACCCAATTTAATTTAACTTAATACTATAGTTACTAGAATAACAAGTTAAGTACTATACAAATTATTAACAGCAATTTACAATAGAAATTATGATAATTCTGATACAAACTAATGTTGTAACAGTTCTTTATTAATTTGCAAGTTGTTGGTAGCAAAAGGTTTTCTCTTTATCAAATAAGGCACCAGTTAAACAAACAAAAACAAATAAAAATACAATCAACTAAACAAGAATTCAAATTCCAACTAGAAACTATTTAATAAAAAGAAAATGATAAAAAAAAGTGACAAGAAGTTATCTAGGGGTAAAAGTAATAAAATATAGGAATATTGGAGTAGTGTTTTAACAAGAAAAATAAATATTTAAGAGAAGTTTTAAGAGTATTATTACAAGAATATTTTTAAAGAAGAATATATTTATAAAGGTTGTATTGTAGAAGGAATTACAAGAGTATATTTTTATTTTAATTCTTTAATTCTTGTTATTGTTATTTCTTTTAAGAGGCAGGAGAGAGGTTATATTTATATCTTTTTTAGAGCTCAAATCTTCAAAACCAAAGGTGGTGTTTGTGGTGTTTAAAAGAACCAATAATATTTTGTTTACGTGGTGCTCGTGGTGTTTTAGGTGGTGTTTGAGGTGTTTTATATATTAACGACTCTTTGTTTTGTTTCTAAATTGTTCATAATGTTTCCAAATTACCGTAAAACGCCATATAAGGTACCCGGGTATCTTACAATTCACATGATAAAAATTTGATTTGTACTCCCCGGATACCTTGTATGAAGGAGAGTATATTATATGGGGTACCTTGTAAGAAGGTGAATTATTAAGTATATAGTGATACCATATTTCTGTGTATTTCTGTATTTTGATATCCTGTAATATATCTAGATATTTTACAAAATACCATATCCGATAATCTTGAAACATACCCGATACAAATAAAGGGGGTATAAATCAAAGAGGGTACCTTATATAGCATTTTACAGTATTCTGCGATTTTCTATAACTTTCTTTTACCCTCCAAATCTTTTCATAATATTTTGTGACTTTCTTTTTTTATATAAACAAATAAAAAAAACAACAAATAAATGTATAACAAATAAACAAATAAACATATCAACAAAACAAAATAAACAAAACTAATCAAAACTAAACAACCAAAAAAAATACTAAAACTATCTTTAAACAATACTAAACTAATTCAAAATAAAAACAAATAACAAAAGAAAATATAAAAAAGAAAAGTCAAGTAATATCAGTAACACTAACTTATCTTAACTTTATATTGTAGTTATTATAATAGCAAATAAGGTTTTTAACAGAATTTTTTAGATAAAAATCATGTTAATTCTAATACAAACTATCTTAATTTATCAATATACTATAATCATGATAGAAATTATAATAATTTAAATACAAATTAAACTATATATAGTAGTTCTATATCATATTAGTAATAGATAAAATAATGAATAAATAGTAGGATATAAAATATATTATTAAAAAACAATATGAAAAATAAAGCAAGGAATTAGCTATTTAATTAAGATAAAAAATTGAATAAAATTTTATATAAGACTATGCAAAATTAATTTTTTGTTTCTTATAACCTGGCTGGATTATAAAGTTTGAATAAAAAAATTTAAATTTTGGGTACATTATAGTATTAACCAATTAGAATCACTAAAGTGTACTCAATAATTTTATATATACTACAGTAAAAAAAAATTTATTATTTTTATTTAAACTTTGATAATATATATCTTAATAACTAGTAATTTAAATTAGCTTAACTTTTTACTACAGTATAAATAATATTAATATTTCTCTATTATATATAAAAATTTTAGCCTATTTTGTTTATTATTTTTTGAGTAATTGTTTGTATATAATAGTTAATTTTTTTAAAAAAATTAACTATTATATACAAGCAATTACTTGAAAACTACTAAACCAAATCAGCTAAAATTTTTTATATAATAGAAGAAAATTGACATTGTCTATAATAAAAATTTGATTCAATTTGGATTATTAGTTATTAAGAATCTCTTATAAAAATAGTAAAAATTTTATTATTGATTATTAAAAAAAATTTGTTATTTTTACTTAAATTTTGACAATAGATATCTTAATAATTAGTAATTCAAATTAGCTCAAATTTTTACTATAAATAGTATTGATATTTTTATAT